GTGCTCAGTTTAAGGCCATACTTCAAGAAGGGGACACATTTCTGGCTATGCTTAGCTTGAAGTCATAAAGTAAATGTCTAAAAAGTTAAAATGTCACATGGGAACATTCAGATTGTATCATAAAAATGGTGAGCAGTGATACTTCTGGGCATGCTCAATTTCTTTTCTGCTAAAAAGTTTTAGTTGAAACAAAAGCAAAAAGCATTTTGTTGTAATGTTTGGGAAGTTTATGGAACCCTTAAAAGGTACAGTTCCTGGGAGAAGGCTTAGAGGGTTTATAGCCTCATTTTGTATCCAGTTAACTCTCTCTGTCTGTGTTTGTTGTTCAAGATGTGAGCTCTCAGATTCTGGTTCCAGTCACCTTCTGCCATGCTTCCCTTGCCATTATGGATTCTCTCTCTGGAACCATAAGCCAAAATAAAGTTTTTCTTCTTAAACAAAAATTAAAAAATGTGGTCTTACATACTGACTTTTGTGATGCCAGAATTGCATCATGAAAGGTACTTTGATCTCTGAAATAATGCTCAGCAGAGACTGTTGACCAATTAGAAACCCTCATTAGTGCTATATGAGCAATAAATATACTCTTATATATTTAAGCCATTTTACATTTTGTAATTTATTTGCTATAGTACCTAGAATTCTCTTAACTAGTATAGAAATTATAACCTTGGAGAGGGAGGCTGCCATGTAAAACTGAAACAGGTAACGTTCACTAAATGTTAAGGAATCCTATCTTCAGGACTGAAAGTGGTTGTTATCTAGAGTTTGAGATGGAAAAGAGGATAGTCTATGAAAAAACATAAGTGTAAACGAATTTCTAAATGGTCCTACTAAATAAAAAACATGGAGCCAGGTATAGGGATGAAAGCCTTAGAGATTAGGGAAATAGTGATAGCCACCAATCTTACCTCTCCAGCTTTGCAGCTACTAGAAAGGGAGTGACTTCCTGTCTACCCAAGCCTTTATTGCCTTGATGTTCTACCCTCTCATTGGCTCTTAGTCCAGCCACATCACTTCCTTGTCACTGCCTGTCCATACAGACCTCCAGGTCTCTATGGTTGATACTGGGATTAAAGGCATGTGTCACCACACTTGGCTGTTCCCTAGTGTGTCCTTGAACACACAGAGACCCTGCCTGCCAAGTGATTGGATTAAGGGTGTGTGCTACCAC